AAGTTACCTTGTCCTTTTCTCTATACTGTTCTGTGTTAATAAATACATTCTGATTTCTGTCTGACACATTAGTCAACCTTGATTTTAAATTCTGATATTCCACTTTGATTTTCGGAGGGCGAAACGTGCGTCTGGTGCATGCTCGTTTAGCATTAATTTCATAATTTGTATTCAACGTGTCCAGGTGATAGCATCTACGATAGAGATGATTTAAAAGGGACAGCCCACACTTTCATCTACTGAAACATTCAAATACCTACTTTTCGAACGCGATTGATCCACGAGACGACGCCCGAAAATTACGAAACGAAAAATGATGTAGCTCGGTGTAATGTTAACTGTCGTTGGTTTAAATCAGGTTTGTAAATTAATTTTATACGTACTGCAATCGACAGAAAGATTTCATTATGACATTCTTTAAATACCTCAATGTAATAAGCAAAAAAAACAAAGGCCGAAATGAAATAAACAGGAAATATTAAAAAAGGGGACTGTAGAGCGATATTAAACATTAGAATTACATAAATATACGCAGAACGTGTTGTTACAAAAAACATAGGTAGATACTAATACTATGAAATGTAACGTTCAAAAGGTAAATAGGTTGACAACTCACAAAAAACACTTAATACTTAGAGTTGCATTATTGGTCATAAGTGGGGTTTACGTTTCTTCCTGAGTTTATCTAGTCTGGTAAAAACTCGGAAAAGCGGAAAATCGAAAAGAATTGAGTGTCCGCGCAATCAATGACAAAGTACAATGCTACAGACAGGAATGTTTACTAACACGTGGAAAGAATGGAAGAGAACTGGCATTCCCATATGCAGGTGTTTAAGTGTAGGCCGACAAGGCAAGACGAGATCCACGAAGACACACTAAAAGATGGAATTCTTAGATAGCCGGAACAGTCTAGACTATCCATCGACGTGGAGAAGTAAGTGAATACGTTTTTAAACGAGACTAAAAAACAGTAGGTTCATTGTATGTTTTCAGTCTACATATTTTGAATACATTCGCTGATTTTATCTTTTCCAAGTAGAAGTTATACGAGCAGCTCAATTCCTTCTCAGGCTACCATTTGCTCGTCGGGGTCGATGCGAAGAGGAACGGAGAGGATGGAGTGGAACAACGCAAGGCGTGGCAGGGCCTGTAAGATAAGGTGAGGTCAGAAAAAGTGCACGCAGGGCAAAAGGGCAGGGCAGGGGCAGGCAGGGCAGGGCAGGGCAGGGCAGGGCAGGGCAGGGCAGGGCAGGGCAGGGCAGGGCAGGGCGGGCAGGGCCAGGGCAGGGCATGGTATGGTATGGTAGTTTTTTCTTGAATCATAACAGATTCGCTTTAATGCATACTGCCAGTTTAATAATCATCCTAAGAAACCAATCTCATTCGTTTAATAAACTGCCGGTTATTTTATTTCCTGACGAATGTCCCGTACGATGCATTTTCATCTTAACGCGCGTTTCCACGCTTGTCGCTCCACGCATAACCACCTCGCGTACAGCCCCCAAATCTTGTTACACGAGAATTAAAAATGTGGATCATCAGGTGTGGTATTAAAATCCATTAGTCGATCATTCGGAATACAAGCCGTTTCATTTAATTTTCCGCGCAGGGGTAACGCGTCCGCTTACTCGCAACCTGCTCGACTCCTCCTCCCTCTCGCACAGCAGCATCCCACGCACGGCGGCGTCCGTCGCGGCGGCAACCTGGCCACTAGCGGTGGCGGGGCGGCTTTTTTACGGCCGCGGCAGCGCCGGCCGGTGGCCTTCCTGGCGGCCGAGCGCGGGGCGGGGCGGGGAGGGCGGGGAGGAGAAGGGGAGGGGAGGGGAGGGGAGGGTGAGGGGTAGGGGCGGCGAGCGGGTCGAGGGTTTCGGCCGTCCGTAAAAGTCCGTCTTTCTGTCGCGTTGCCGGTGTCTCGAACACTTCATTCGGCGCTCGTTTACAGGCCGTCTCTGCCCCCCCTCCCTCCCCCCGCGCTCTTCTCTTGGAGTGACTGCGCCCCCGCGAGACGTTCTCACTGCTAGGCCCCACCCCCAGCCTGCCTCAGTCCCCGCCAGTCCAGATCCCCGTTGTCGCTGCCTCTCGCTTTCCTTTCCCACCGACCCTCTCCTGCCCAGATCCACCCCTGTCGAGCCGCCGACCCCGCCTCCGCTGGCCCGGCCCTCGTCCTCTCTCGTCCCAGTGCCGCAGCAACCCCCTGCCAGCCCGTCCCAGGTCCGCTCCCGTTCACAAACCGCCTCCGCCCCCGCCTCGGACAGCTCCTGCCGCCCTCGCCAGCTCGCCCCAGATCCTCTCCCTGCGCCGCTGCCGCCGCCCCCACCGTCGCTCTCCCGGCGGCGAAGGGGGGCGGGGCGGTTTTATTAGGAAATTCCAGGCGCTGGAATGCGCGTTTTACGGGCGAAGCGGTCCGTCGCGCAGGAATTGATTCCTAATGGCGCCCTCGCCGCCCGTAATCTTTATGTGCGCGCGCCGCTCCCAGAGCTGTCTAGCGCCCGTCCGGAAAACATCCTCTCGCCCGTCGCGCGGCGCGCCGTGCCGCACGCGCGACGCCCGTCCCCCTCGCGACGGCACCGCCGCTGCCACCGCAAACGCGCAGAACCGGGCGCAGCATCAAACAGGAGGGACACCACCACCATTACATTTGTGGGCCCCGTTTTCCACTAATTTTTTTTTCTTCTTCGTATGGCATATTTTACTAGGTAAATAAGTAACACCATTCACCTAGAGGTCTGGCAGATTAGAAAATATAAATCTACGTAATTATTATAAATCAAATTTGACCAGCAGGACTGTTCGTAATAGTTGTAAGAAAGTCACGTCAAATGATCTTAGTAACACCATGCAGGAGTACCAAGTGGTCTCGATGTACCCCTCCAAAAAAAATAATGTATGCTGTAATGGTATGTATTTTTAAGGCTTCTTGTAAATTGCTATTTCATTTAAATGTCGTTCAAACGCATTCGCTTAACCGCGAACCAATGGATGTATGGATATGAAATGTTGAAAAGTATGAATCTGGGAAATATTCGGGAGAAAATGTGTTTATTCTGTCGTCTCTATTAACGTCTTAAGAGGTACGCTTTCAGTTTCAAAGAATTTCCCCTACATATTTCAGCTCCTGTACTGATGATTATGGAGCTCGAACCGTAGAAAAATGAAGCTGTGGAAGGTAATATTAATTACAGGGCTTCTTCGCGTGTAGAACCCGCGTCACCTTGAAGTTTATCTTATACTCGTAATAGTTTCAATTGTTTAAATTCGCTCACATTAAATTTCATATCTTCCTGAATTTCAGCACTGAACCAAAGTGTAGGGAAAATCATTGTTATCATATTAACCTACGGATTAATGCTTGCAGCAATTACAAACTCGAACGCATATTTGAATCGAGAATTTCGGCACAGAAACAAAGTGTAGCGAAAATCATTTTCATAGTAATCAACCGTTGCAGGTCTGCAGCAATTATAAATACAAACTCGGGCGCATATTGGAATCCCCTGTGCGAAATGGTGGCCACAGAGCTCCCTCAGGGGAGCATGTCCGAGGTTCGAGTCCCACTCCGGCGCCGGGAAGCCTTCGGCGAAATTTCTCCTGAGCGGCAACGGCGGCGGCAGTGTAGACGGAGGCGGCGGGCGAGCGGCGTCCTCCGTCATTTAGTGTCGAAATTAATGAACCGGCGGCGGCGAGATAACAGCGCGGGGACGGCAGCGGCGGCGGCGACAGGGCGAGGAGCGAAAGCGGAGGCAGGAAGAGGAGGGCGGCCGCAAACGCTGCGAACGGTGGAAGGGCGAATTAAGGAATACGAAACTGGTGATTGAGTGGGGCCTGAAGCGTGGAAGTGGTTAGATAAGCGAGGGAGGCTCGCAGGAGAAAGAATGTAACAGCAAAATGTCGAAGGAGGAAACGTAATAGTGGAAGAGCAGGGATTGGGGAAAATAGAGGTAATGAGGACTGTCCGAAGGAAAAATTAGACGACCGTTGGAAGAACCAGAAGCCGTCCAATATGAAAGTATGGAAAAGGGATAGGAATCGATGTGAAAGGAGTATAAAAAGTAACAAGATTCAGATGTAGCCAGTATTAAAAATCAGAACTAGTATATTTAAATCTCCATCCTAAATAGGACATTAATCAATATGAGATAAGTCGTAGTTAGGACTTGAGTAAAAGCGTTACGAAATGGAGTAAGAAGGGAGGAGGAGCGTGAAAGAGGTAACTGAAAGAAGGAAAAGAAGCAAAAAGATTGTATGAAAAAAGAGTGAGGTAAAAGAAAACAACGTAGATTGAAAAGAGGAAGAACGAAAGGAATGTTTAGGAATAAATGCAAAGATTTAAAGTGCAGGGAATGGAAAAAAATGTAGATTAACAGCAAATGAACAATTAAACATTAATACGGTGCGAAGGAAGGTGAGGAATAAAGTAGAAGTCATACAAAGCTCGAAAGGAAAAGGTGAAAAAAGGGGGATCGAGATTAGAAGAAAAACAAGAAGAGGGATGCATTTGATAAAGAGCAAGAATGTATTGGATACAGACGGATAACGGAGTAGGAGGGACGGGCCAGAGACATAAGATAAAAGATAAAGGATACAAACGGAGAGCAGCGACAGGGCCATGAGCCGCTGGGAGTCCGCGCGTGATAGAGAAGAGAAGAGGCGGAGTGAAGAGGATAAAGTGCAAGAATGCACCAGAGAAAGGCTGCTTATAGAGGGGCAAAGGCGGGAGACTATGGGGGAGCGCGCGTGACGCCATTACCCGAAGACGCGCGTCTGTGAAGTCGCCGCCGCTCAGGGTGGGGAAGGGGAGGAGGGGGAAGTGAGCGTGTCGGCGGGAGGCGGGACAGACGAAGCGCCGCCTGAGTCGGCGCAATTCCGCGGATTAAATTCCCCGGGAGACTCACGTGACGCCTGCTCCGGATTCCCCGGCGCGTGGCTGCTCTCCCCCCCCCCTCTTCGCTCGCGCCTGAACCCGCGCTGTGATAAGCCTCGCCTTATTTGCATGGCGCAGGTGGGGACGCGATGGAACGGAATGGGAGAAGATTTTCGCCTTTGAAGCCCTGCGTTGTTGCGGATGGATTCGATAGAACGAGGGAAATAGGGATCGGTTAGAAGGTAGATGGAATGATTTGCAACAGACTACATTACGAATTGCAATGTTGAGGTAGGCCTGACCTTATTGTGTGGTGTAATAGACGTCACAATGGAATGAGAGGGTATTTTCGTCATTGGGATCCTTTGGTGTTGCGGATGGATTGCGTGGAACAAGAGAAATAGGGGTAGATTGGAAGGTACCTTTGAAGTGATTGGAACGTGATACATTAGAAGTTGACAGTCGAGGTAGAGTTGTGACAGTTGTGCCTCGCCTTATTTGCGTGGTACAAGTTGGAGACGCAGTGTACTAGAATGGGAATGGTTTTCGCTGGGGCATTGGATTGCATGCTAGGAGAGCACCCAACCTCAATGTTTCATAACAACTTATAACAAATGGAAACGATCTTGCCGATTTAGTTCTGCCATTAGAGAGAGGAGCAGGCAAAACTGCTTAAGTGCAGCAATCCATTAACAGTTTTTATACAAACAACATGCTCACTGACTCCAATTTCTAATCCCCAATTCAACGTTTTATAGGAGCATCGCAAACCCAACTCATATTAATTCTTGCTATTGACCTGCCTTTCTTTAAGTTATGCTTTGTCTTCTCGTTCCTTCTTCTTTTCCCATCGCAAACACGGATCTCTGTGGCCGGTTCTACAGTGGAGGATTCTTCTGCCCACAGGAGAAAGCGGCGCAACTTCAGCAAGCAGGCGTCCGAGATACTCAACGAGTACTTCTACTCGCACCTCAGCAACCCGTACCCCAGCGAGGAGGCGAAGGAAGAGCTGGCGCGCAAGTGCGGCATCACAGTCTCCCAGGTAAGGCCACGCCCCCTTCGCACCAACGACCTCTTCTCGCTGTAGCTCTTAATCCATACGAAGACGTGGCCCGGGGCCAGTATTTTAAGTTGGAGAAAGCAGTTACTGGTACTTTCCTTGCGTCTTTGAACCTGTAAAGAAAGTGATAAGGCTGCATTTTACTGAAAATAAGTTCTGTTCTACTGGACTCCCCTCACTATTATCATTTGAATGAAAAACATGATAATCTCTTTTGAATTTTGGTTTCCACGTGTAATCAGCTTAATCACCGGGTCAACAACGTATTCAGGAATTTATTCAAACAAGGGTGTTGGGGGAAATATATAACTTACATTACTACCAATATGCCACGACATCCAAGTAAAAAATGAAATTAGTCCGAAGAGTGTTTTAGTGACTCGCGTTTTGGCATTACGCTTGAAGCTTATGAAGGACAGTTAAACATACGTGGATCGTATTTCTTAAAAGCAACTCTATTGAGCGTGAATGCCGTGTAATTAGCAATGTATTTTCACAACATAAGCTCAGCGTCTTAGAAAATGTCTTAATTCAGACGTGATAATTTAGATAAGCGATGCGATCTTGTGTTGTAAAATGTTTATTTGAAGTTGTCGGCACAAATGGTTCACTTTATCTGTGTACGTCACGAATTCTGTGTACTCCGCCCGAGAAGCCGAAGCGTGATAGGTAATTATGTTACATTACGAGTTACGTGCTACATTGGGTAACAAAAGCAAGTGCATCTCTCTCGCAGATTTCAGCCGAAGGATAACGGCAAAATAAATCCATAAACCCGGGTTTTCCCGCGCAGTTTCTTCCCCGGGGAAGGTGTTAAAATAAAGAGGCCCCACGCCCCCCCCCCTCACGGAGGGGACGGGGGCACGTCCCCTGGGTTCGGAGGAGAGTGAGAAGGGCCCTCCCGGAGGGCGGATTGTGTAACTCCGGCCGTAATTTACATGCGGTGTCTTTATAGGCCGAAATCTGGGAAGCCACCGCTCCAGCATGCCCCCCTGAGCAGCCGCCTTTACGGCGCCGTAAAGCGTTAAAATCGCTAGGCAAATATTCATGGACAGGCGCTGTTTAATGATCACACGCCACGGTGAAGTTCAACAGGCCGTGACCGACGCCAGTCCGCGAGCCGCCTCCGGGAAGCGGGTGTGCGGCCGGGGGAGTGGGTGGGTGACGGGCCGACGCGAACGTGTGTATACAGCCGGCGAGCGATGCTAGAGCACAGGCGAGATGAGGTCGAAAAGTAGGTTTTTTTAATTTGTTTTTATTTTAAGTGAATGGGTAATGATGTGTCACGTCCAAGCCATGAAATTGTTCCAAATAACGTTCTGGTTTCAGTGAATAATACATGTAACTTTGTTTTTGATATCGAAACATTCGCTTTCCTATTGCGAAACTGTTCTAAACAGTTTTCCTTCATTTTTACTATAAAATTTCCGAATTCATGATAATTTTATAGTGTTTGGTTACGTCGAATTTTTTGAAGATTAGTTCCCATCCAAGCCAAAAACATCGATAATTTAAAAGATAGAAAATGTAACTAAATGTCTGTCTAAAAAATGTCCTATTGTGTTTTGCCTAAGAGTCACATCTCGAAACAATATCATTCAGTTCGGTTTGTTGTCTAATGAAAAAAACAGTTTTCATTTCTCTCTCGCTAATGAACATTTGTAACTATTTCAGTTTGCGTTGGTTAAGGTAAAATAAAGATTATTTCTCCACTATTCATTTTCGGCAGAGACACCAAACTTTTAAACATTAAAACAGCCTATAACTGTTCTAACCCCCCTAGAAAAGATTTTGTTAATCGAAAGGCTGCAGAAAATCAGTACGAGAACTTTCGGTTCGCACAGAATATGATTTAAGATCGTCAATCAATGATTTAAGATCAAAACCGTTATCGTCAGTATCGTGAGAGTATTGATGTTTCATGATTGGAAAAACCTGACACTAACCCTGTGCCCTGGGGCACTTCTTTCGATGTTGGCTTGTACTGTAGGCATTTGCATTCTTTCTAGGTATCCAACTGGTTCGGCAACAAGCGGATAAGATACAAGAAAAACATCGGCAAGGCACAGGAAGAAGCCAACTTGTACGCGGCTAAGAAGGCAGCAGGTACGTTTCCTCGCCCCATGACTGCACCATCTGCTCTGCACTCTTCTGTCGCCGTAGGAGTTTGTGCTGCGGTGTAAATACGTGGGTGTTGTGTACCTACGGGGATGTAGTGGGGAGAGAAAAAATAAGCGGTACTATATACAGAGTTACATTGAAATATGGTTTATAAAATTAAAATTTAATATATGAATTTTAAATAGAGGGGAAATGTTATATAGTTTAGATAGATTTATAGTACGTGTGTTTTAAATTTGCCTAGCTATCTCATTCGTTGTTACCAGTTGCTCGCGTCACCTACGTATTTACACCGCAGAAGTGTGCAGAACGAAGATGGTACTCATGTTTATTGGGAGCCTATCTTTGGTAGATTAGGTCTGACACAATACACGTTGTTGATGTCCTGTATACATTCCAGCGAGTTCTCGCTACTTATTGTAAAATCGCTGTACTTCTATGTCGTTTCGTACTGTTTCCGCATGAGAAGTGAATGAAGATATGTAAGTACACCACACACATTTCACTAAACATAAAGAGTTTTTTATTCATTAAACTCCATTTCAATACTAAATGGGATCTCTGTACAATTTCACTGATACGTCAATTACGAATATTCTAATCTGATTCACCATTTCCTCTGGGCCTCGTGAACATTTTCCATTCACATTAGCGTCTTATAATATCAAGGTCGTGCATCAAACTTCTTTCTTATTCTTAACCTCTAAAGAACCATGAACCATTTT